TGGGGGCAATATGCTGACTCTCTGTAAACCGCTTAGAGAGGGCTGAAAGCCCTATGAAGCGGTATATAAGTCTACTGCTATTGCTATTGCTATTGAAGTCCACATAATTGCCCACATTTGGAGGGCAATTAAGGTGGGAAAGCCTCATTTATGTTACTGTTAGCCTGATTCCTACAGAAGACAACATACAGTATAAGATATGTGATGGAGAAGAGGCCCAATGATTCTATCCAACTCCAGGGGGAAACCCACCTGGTTTAGAACTTCAGAACTTAGAATAACTTTATTGTTATTTTGAATGTACACTAATCAGCATACATTAAAATGAAATTTCATTGCATACAGTTCTCAACGGGCCTTCTAAGCCTCCAATCACAAAAATACTCCCACTTATGCACATACAGGCAAAGGCAGCACTATTTATGTGCCTGGAGAATTTAAACCTATATGAAAACTATAAATATAGCCACTGGCTACTTTCACTATACTGAGCCAGGTCTCCACACTCGGCAACTACTTGCCTCTATATAGATGTAGTACTTGCTGTTTTCTATCACGCTCACGTAAGCAGAATGGATCGATTCTTCATGGTACTTAATACCAGCAGACCAATCAGCAGCAGAGCGAAGCACCTAGGAGAGAAAACACCATCTTTTAAAAATATAATTTCTCTTAGATCAGGGGTGTCAAACTCACAGCGTCACATTGTCATCACGTGACGTATTGTGACTTCCTGCCCCGTTCGCTAAACCAGGGGTGGGTGTGGCCAACGCGTGATGCATCTGATCTCTGGGCCACCCATGTCTTAGATAATCCTATACAAGGTGTTTCCGTTTCACAGCATAAAACCTAATGATATGCAATGGTCTGGCTCTGTCAGTTCTATCTCCTAAGAATCAGCTTCTGGTGGCAAAGTCTTAATATTACTTTTTGTCGGATCAGCATGTCATCTGAAGCCCCCATTTGTGGTTTATTGTCAAGCAAACATGTTGTGGCCCTCCAGAGCCCAGTGGAGCTGGTGGCAGGCTCAGACAGTGAGGCGGTTGGGGAGGAACATGGGCCAGTCCTGGAGTCTGGGGAAGGCTCTGATGGGTACTGTGTGTCGGAACCAGAGATGGGACCACGGCTGTCTGTTCCTGACTTCTTGCCAAGTAATTGCTGTTACAGCATGGTGTTTGGAAGATATCGGTCTGGCAGCTCTCCAAGCCTGATAACAGTCTGTAATTGTGAAATCTCATGAAAGACTGTTTGCTGGGACTTTGCTGGAGAGGAATTCCCTTTAACCTAAATAAAAGAGGTTTTATTGGGGCAAGGAGTCTGCTTCATGATCTTGGGAAACCTAGGTCAGAACAAAACAATGTCATTGAGTGAAATGAGAGCCCACTCATTGATTGACTGCAGCTGTTTTTCAGCCTTGCCTGAAGGTGTTGGGAACTGAACCTGCAATAATTGGCGAGCTGAGAGTGAGGTAAACTCTATTGCTGACCTCTATCTATTTTCCAAAAGGGCAGAAACTAAGCGAATATCAGACAATAATGCCAGAGTGCCATCAGCTTCATTCAAGGGGGCAGCAGGGAGGGTGAGGACGAAGGCATTACTGTCAGTAGAAGGTTTTTTTCCTAAGAAAAGCAGTAGAAAAACCACAAACAGCTGCTACCCGTACTGCCCTGGTTAACACAACAAAGCATTTCCTTTCTTGTCTGAAAAGAATGAGGTCACCTTCGAAAACTCTTGCAGATCATGAACTAATGGGTTTAAACCAGAGGAAAGCAGATTCCTCAGAACAATTTCACAACATAATCTATGACAAAGGAAGATTATGACTTCTGCCTCATTGGATGTGTAGGAGAGGGAATTCTCTATAAGATCTCCTTTAATTTATATTCTTTCACTGAATAGCAGATTTCATCCAATGCAGTGGTGAGATTCAAAATTTTTTACTACTGGTTCTGTGGGCATGGGGTGGCTTGGTGGAGTAGCAGGGGAAGGATACTGCAAAATCCCCATTCCATCCCCACTCCTGGGAGAAGGACACTGTAAAATCCCCATTTCTACCCCATCCCACTAACCTGCTTTCCAGCTCCGTTCTCCTGTGCAGGGCAACAGAAGAAGACCCAGCCAATAAGCTGAGACTTGGGAGATAGCAAATAGATGGGGGTGGAGCCAGCCAGAGGTGGTATTTGCTGGTTCTCCGAACTACTAAAAATTTCCACTACAGGTTTGCCAGAATCGGTCAGAACCAGCTGAATACCATCTCTGATCCAATGGTCCTATATTCTCTATCTTCAAAAGGTAGCAATAGCAATAGCAACTTAGGCTTATATACTGCTTCATAGTGCTTTTACAGCCCTCTTTAAGCAGTTTACAGAGTCAGCATATTGCCCCCAACAATCTGGGTCCTCATTTTACCCACCTTGGAAGAATGGAAGGATGAGTCAACCTTGAGCTGGTGAGATTTGAACTGCTGAACTGCAGCTAGCAGCCAGCAGTAGCCTGCAGTACTGCACTCTAACCACTGCACCACCTCGGCTCTGGTATGTGCATGTTTTGACAAAACTACCTAAATGGTGATACTTAGTCAACCTTGGACAACTTACGCAGCTTAGTACAGATAAATCCTTGACTTATGACCAAAAGTGGTAGCAGAATATCTGTTGCTAAGCAAGGTGGTTGTTAAAGGAGTCGCGCCTGATTTTACAACCTTTTTGCCACGTTTAAGTGAATCACTGCAGTTAAGTGAATTAAAGTCGTGAAGTGAGCCTGGCTTCTTCCATTGACTTTGCTTGTTAGAAGCTGTATTTTAGTAGCTACTGCTCCCTCGGGTGTCAAACTTTATTTCACTGAGGGCCGCATCAGGGTTGTATTTGACATTGGGGTGAGTGGGGGATTGGCCGAGGTGGGCATGGGCAACTCAACATCACTCATGTTGGGGGAACCTGTGGTGGCCCAGGCAGGGCTGGGAGGATGGGATCCTCCTGTAGCCACCTGCAAGCAAAAAAGGAGCTTGCAGCCCTCCCAGGCTCTGTTTTTGGCTGCGATGGCTGCCTCCAGAACTCTGCCACACAAAATGGAGCTCGTGGGCAACCTTCCTGGGCTCCATTTTTGTTGGAGGAGGCCGTCACAGCTGAAAATGGAACCTAGGAGGGCCACGCACAGCTCTCCTGAGCTCTGTTTTCTCTGGCAGAGGCACCATGGGCTGGTCCTTCACTGTTTATAGGGCAGCCCCACGGACCAGTTCTAAGCATGCCGTGGGCTGGCCTGCAGGCCTTGAGTTTGACACCCCTAGGTCAAGAAATTGTAAAAAATAATAATCCAGAAAATGGTGGTGACAAATTACTTTTGTTGTACTGTTACCAAGAAAGCTATATGGTTACATGCATGAAATCCTTAGGAGTCATGCTCAGTTTGAAAACTTTCTCTTCAAATTGCTGCGACTGTCCATGACTACAATGAGCAAAACGCATCTTTCTTTGTTCCAGCAAAGTTTCCATCAATCATTCTCATTTAAAAAAATGTTGGATAAACATTTTTTTTTTGTTTTCTTTGAGAGATGATGACTCTCCTGTTGAAAATAAATTTTATCTCGCCAGGGAGCTTGACTCACAAAAGCAAAGGCCAGCAGATCATAAAGTCAAGGAAGACAGATAATTTTCAATTTCACGGCATTACAAGAGAACAATCAATTCCATCCACAATCGCCTCCTTTGAAACTTTTTCTCACCAACTAATTGTGTTTGGACAAGTCATTCCAACTCCTAAGATTTATTTCCTGTGGAACAAGAAACCAGCTTTCACAATCTCACATTTTTCAGATCGTCTTGGACTGCAACTCTCAATCTTGCAAATAATTGAGAAACGGACAGAGCTTTTCCAGAGAAGAGTATCTGTCTTCTCTGTCTCCTGTTCCCATTCTTCATGATTTAAGAGTCCAAAAACATATTTTCCTCCCACGTAGTTTAAAAGAGATTTTAATGAAATTGAAGTGGTAAGTGGAAGCCTACTTTAGCGATACAACTGGGAAATGTCTTTTGTTGGCAATTCCAGAAGGCTGCTGAACACTGAGTGACTTTACTTCTGAGTAAATATCCCCAGGGGTAGCTTTGTCTCTGGTTTGAAGAATGAAAAAAAATTATATATATGGCTTTTTCAGTGGATAAGAAAAATAAAAGGCTGTGGGCCTCTTCCACAGCATCTCCGGATACATTAGGGATATAGAAAGAAGAAAAGTGGCATTTAATCTACGGCCCGGAACAATTTCAAATGTGGAGCCATTTTATATGATGACGGAAGGAATCAAACGTCTAACACTTGCCAGTTATACATTTCATAAATTTTACAACACTCTTACCTGCACTTTGGCATTCACAGCCTCAGGGACTTGATAGTTCAATTCATCAGCTGTTCGCTGAGATTTTGGCAACAAGAAAGGGTACGAAAGGGACCTGTATTTAGATTTCATGATCTTGTATTAAGAAAGAAAGAAAGAGAGAAAGAAAGAAAGAAAGAGAAAAACCATTAGTCAGACTTGCAAATGTTCAGATTTAACATGCAGCAAATTTATTTTACTTGCTTTCAGACTAGGGATTTAGAAGATCCCAACATATCTGTCAACAGTTAATTGAAAATGTCAGAGTGCACACAGCGTGACTAATATTTTGAGATAACCCAGGAGTGAAATATAGGACAGAGGCTTGTCTTACAAACAGTGGTTTATATACAAGACTTCTACATACAAGGCATACAGAACACACACACGCACACACACACATGTTCTGAGCACAGCTAGACAATTAATCAATCTCCAACTCTACATGGAGAATAACTATGAAGATAATACACCAGGAGAGAGAGATATGCCCTCTCATGGCCTCCTTTATATAGACAGCTTCTTAAAGTGGCAATAGCCTGACTTCTTAAAGTGGCAATACCTCTGCTGACTCATTCTCATTTCATCATCTTAAGTTAAAGCCTTACATTGGCTGGTCAGCTTTAAATCATCATTACCCTGACACTCCTCCCAATTAAAGCTGAACAGCTTTAACATATTCCCAATACTTTCTATTTATATTATTTCCTCACCTCTTGCTTCGGTTACTACTCTCACTGCTACAAGCACTACTCCTACGTTCATTATCTACTGACTCTGCACACTCTGACAGAAAAACTATATGAAACCCACCTTTGTGAAGTTCCAGCGTTGAATGAAGTGCCGAGCTACGTCCCGTGCAGCTTTGCCATGGACTACAGAGGCAATGTCGTGCCATGGCATCCTTGGCATGGTGTAACGATCAATAAAATCTGAAGGGGAAGCAACAAAAAAAGAAAAAAGTCAAAAACCTAAAGAACTATCAGCTATTCTTGGCTATGCTACTAACACCTGATTGGCTATTGTGGGAAAAAAGTTACCCAATCACCTAGCCTTTTGCCCTCCGCTAGCAAAGTATTTTATTTGCCACAAACTCATTGTCTCTAAACTCTAAACATTCACAAATTCATTGGCCCCCACTGGCTGTCCAGATAAGATTCTAACTTGCAGTGATGCTTACCAGCAAAGGGTTTATCCAGTTGGATCCAGTCTTTAAAGACGAAGTTGCAATAATCTTTTCCATGCCAGAATCTGGTTTCACCAAGAAGTTCTCCAACTCCTGTCTTTAAGCTGCGAACTGAGCCTTTACCTGTTTCAAACAATCAAACACAAAACAGATTTTTGGAACCTGCTACTAACAGTAACCTCAATTATTGTTATGCAAGTATTTAATCTTTAAATTAATGCCAATCATGAAGAAGAGTGCATCCTCAAAGCAGAGCACGCAGAAGTGGAATGCTATTCACCAGATTATTGGGGTTTTTTTTCTTTTCATTTCTTCCCTTCCCTGCCTCCAACATGTATTAATTTCTCAGTGCAACTAGCTTTTTCCTGTTTTCTCTCTATTTCTTCCATTTTACAATGATCACCAGTAACAGTTAGATGAAGCAATCACTCTAACAAAGAAGCGTGAACAGGAGTTATGTTCATGTTCCTTCATTTTCTGAAGCATCTTTTAAAAATTATTTCAGAAGCCTGGCACATTCCTTCTTTAGATCAGTGCAGCAATCAGTGCAGCAATAGTTGGGTCTTAGGAAGGAGGAGATCCAGTTCTCAATTTCCTAGATTATAAATCTCATTGAACTGAAGCCATTAAATCACCCCAGCTTCATCATATGATCCTTGTGAAGATAAGAAGAGGAGATTGTTTTTTGATCCCTTGAGTTGGATGTATATACATATACTATATGTATATACAATACATAAAAAATACCTACTGTATTTTTCGGAGTATAAGACGGACCTTTTCCCGCCAAAAAAGAGGGTGAAAATCTGGGTGTGTCTGAATACAGCATTTTTGGCCTACCAAAACCCTGCCCCCTTTGCAAAAATGGACATGCAGAGGGTTTGGAAGGCTTGCAAAGTGCTTCTGGAGGTTGAGGAGGGCAAAATGAGCAAAAAACAGGCCGTTTTGTCCCCCTCAGCCCCCAGGAGCACTCTACAAGCTGCCTAAAGCCTCTGCATGCCCCCTTTATTTTTTGGGCAAAAAAGGGCCTTTTTTGCTCATCCCCCCCGAAGCCCCCAGGAGCACTCTATAAGCCTTCCAAAGCTCTGCATGTCCCCCTCTTTTTTTTAAAAAAAAATGAGGTTTGGGAGGCATACAGAGTGCAAAAACTTTTTTTAAAAATTTACCTCTTCAAGATCATGGTGCGTCTTATAGTCCGAAAAATACAGTAAGTGCTACCCTACATTTATGTTGTCCAAGTTTTCCTTATTTTATGGTGAAATTTAATTAACTGATTTTATTTGAATGTTCATCCACCTAACCATCAATTCATTTTTTACATCATCCTGTTGACAAAGTTCTCGAGACTTGTTTTGGAAGGATTTTGACTCCAAAATATGACACAGAAATACAATGCATAAGTAAAGAAATAACTCACAAGAATCACTGTCTACACTGCTCACACTATCAGCACGATGCATAGTATGTCGATGGAGCTGCTTGTAAATGCTGAATCTGACAAATTTCTTGGTTCTCCCCACTCCTTTCATTCTTGAAATTTCTTGAGCATCGTCACTGCATCCTTGAAGGGGTGTGGTTACTGGAGTCTCCACTTGAGGTTGAACAGTTTCAGCTAAAGACTTGGGGCAGAAAAAGGACAAATACAATTTTAGTACGTGTTTTTGTATCTATCCTGGTTGATAAGAATTGACATCTGATTTGATGGTATGTAATCCATTTTAATCAATATGCATTCATTCAGAATACGCTACAGGCCTTTATGCATATCCTATAAATGAGGGTATATCAAACCTCCAGCATCTGTAAAAGCCATAACAACATTAAAATGAGGACGTACATTATCATATAATGCAAATAATCCAATCATGTAATAATACTATGACATCTAAGATGAATGTACAAATCATGTCATTTGCTTAAAAACATGACATAGTTATCATCACTTGCTCTCCTTGCCCACAGATGCTTTTGGACTAAATGAATCAAAGCTGTTTCCCATGGAAAATGAATCAGTTATGAAGAGGAGCCCTCCTATTTTCATTCAAAAATGATACAGACCCACAAGAACTACACTATACGCTGTTTTTGAAAAGATGGACAACTTTAAAGACAGCACATAGATTGAACTGCAAGAGAAACAGAAGTAAATATATCCATGTCAATTCTTTGGCATGGATATTGCAAAACTAGTTTGGGTTCCATGGGTGTACACTCAATACATATTTCTAACTGCATGTTATCAAAAACAAATATTAGAGGAAACATATGCAGTTATTTAAATCACAGTTCTTTTCAATAGATGAAGTCTGATTCTGAGCCACAAGTCAGAGTGTCTGAATATGTCTAAGAGTTGCAACCCCTACGGAACGTTTCCTGCAACCTTGAAACAGCTCCAGCTAAATAATGCTCAGATATTATACCTCTTATACTGTTGGTCTTCAGCAATTGCTGTTTAAATATTCTGCTGAGATTCAGTAATCGTATGTAGCCGCCAGCCCTATTTTCCCTGATGTTGCAGCCCGCCAGCAGCCAGCGGAGCAGATTTGGACAGTGAGGAGGTTGGGAAGGAACATGGGCCAGTTCTGGAGTCTGGGGAAGGCTCTGATGAGGGCTCTGCATTGGGGGCAGAGAGGGGTCCAGAGCCGTATGCCAGTTATCAGCTGCCTTCGGAGTCAGACATCAGTGAGGCAGACGAACAGCTGGAGCCTGTTCCCAGTGTGCGCATGCAAGAGTTGCCAGACAAAGGGAACAGCTAAAGAACAGGGGTTGACTTGGGAATAAGGCCACAGGTGGACAATGAATGGCCCCTACCAGAGGAAATAAAAGAGAAGCAAAAGTGGAGTGGAGTTTGCAGGAGACAATTAGTTCACTTAATTGGTTCGTGATTCTCCAAGAGTCCCTGCCAAGTTTTGAAGATATCGGCCTGGCAGCTAAGGTCTGTGACTGTAAATTCATCCTTGAAAGACTTTGCTGGATGTGAACGAAAGGAATTCACACTAACTTAATAAAAAGAGCTTTTTGTCGGGACAAGGATGCTTCGTGGTTTGGGGAAGCCTAGGTCAGAACAGGTGATGTATAGAGATGGCTTCATGCATGTGTGTCCACCACTACAAGGAAAGAAGAAATTGGCATTCTCCAATCCTGATGAGATCAGAACTCTTAATCTAACATTGCCTAAACAGCTGATACTCTAAGAAATATAACAGCTAATGTGACCTGAAAAAAGTTGTCTGGACTGAGGACTTGTATGCTAGGATTGACAGGGTTGATGCTAGGATGTCAAACCATGTAGTAGGGCTGTATTATCCTTCTCATCTTTCCTATTACATATTCCTTTGGCATCTTTCGACTATCACTTTGTTGTCTGCGTCTTATGATTTATGTTGATTGCTTTTATTTAGTATCCTATGACTATCACTGAGGGGTGTATCTGATGTTTTACGATGTCTGGATTTTACGATTATGGTCATGATTTATCATTTGTTGCTTGTATGTACACGGAGGGAGAGCTTATGCACCGGAGTCAAATTCCTTGTGTGTCCAATCACACTTGGGCAATAAAAAATTCTAATTCTAAAAACAACAACATTAATAAGGCCTGCATCCCAACTGATCCTGCAAAAGATATTCAGATAGAAACCGAAGGTAGATAGGTATTCAGTTTCTACTGCACCACAGGGTGTCTGCAATCCACATTAAACTGGCTTGTTAGCAGGGAAAAGACAGCGTTAGCAGTGCAGGTTAAAAGGCACCAGAAATTGGATGCAGGATATCTTGTTTGATAGATACAGCCCTTTATAAAATGATTTCCCAGGAGCTAAGCCTGCAAGAAATCTTAAACCAATTGCCAGGCACCTCCACTGACCCGAGCAGCTGTCTAAATGTCAATCTGAAACAAGGTAGGAGAATTACTTTCTCAATTTCTTGTTGATTTTCGGAAAGTCACAATTTAAAAGGAAGGGAAACTGACCTATAACAGATCTGTGGGTATTTGTTTTACACAGACGCAACATTGAGTTCAGAGGATTCAGAGATCAGTAAACTGCGAGATACCTGCACAATTTAATTTTGGATGGGAATATTAATAAATTTAGAATCCCGTTAAGATAAAAGCACAAGCTTTTACAAGATAAGCAAAATCCAAAATTGACTGTGGGAAACAAAAAACAAAATCAAAATCCGACAGACGTCATCCCATGTTCCTTTGCCTTTCCTTTGTGACGTCTTATCAGTTTAAATCAAAGCAGGAAAGGATCACAAATAGAAAGATGTTAAGAGTCATAATTTCCTTGTTGTTTTCACGGTTTTCTAGAACCTGACAGAAAAGTTATAGAAGAGAACCATGCAAATATTTGAAATATTTGTGAATATGATTTTATCCAGACAAAAGTTATCTTGGGAATGTGTACATTAAATTTGCTTTTTAAAATATCTATATCTACCTACCTACCAACCTATCTTATTAAGAATTTTAATTATTAAAAGGTAAAAAAAAATTAAACGTGTTGGGAAAAAGAAAAACAAGAATAAAGAAAATGAAAATATGTAAATAAATGACTTCTAAACCTCCTGACTACAAATAAAAACTAAGTTAGCAATTCTTCACCCCATAAGGTTAAATAAATATCTCTTCATCCCATATTCCATCCTTTATTTATAAGCAAACTCATAAAGTGTTAATTCTAGTGTAAGCAAAAAGTCCCCAAAGGGTTTCCAGAACATTGCCAAACAAGAGAATCTTATTTTATTTGTGATCAAATAAACTCATTTTATATTCCTTCATTTATTTTTAATTCAATTATTTTTTTATTTATTTGTATTCCACCTTCATTATTTTTTTTTACAAATAACTCAAGACAGCAAATATATCTATTTTCTCTAAAAGGTAGTTCCAGTTGACAAAGATTGACAAAGCGGAACTAGAACTCACAGCCTCCTAGTGATTGGTCCAAAGTCACCAAGGCAGCTTTCATGCATAAGGACTAGAACTCACACTCTTCTGGTTTCTAAGCTAGCACTTACCATATTTTTCGGAGTATAAGATGCATCTTTTTTCCTCAAAAAAGAGGCTGAAAATCTGGGTGCGTCTTATATATCGAATACAGCATTTTTTGCCTTCCAAAGCCCTTAGCAAAATGATTGTGCGTATCTTTATGGAGGCTTTCAGAGAGCTCCTGGGGGCTGGGGAGGGCAGATATGAGCAAAAAACAGGTCGTTTCCTCCCCCAGCCCCCAGGAGCACTCTATAAGCCTCCATAAGGCTATGCATGCAATTGTTTTTGGGAAAAAACAGACCCGTTTTCGGGAGGTTTGCAGAGTGCAAAAACTTTTTTTTTCCTTTTTGAAAGCTGTTTAACTGATTGATGAGAATTACATTGATCAAGTGCTGTGCCAGTAGAAACCAAGTCTTAGGTACTGCACAGCGATTTTCTTCTCCATTACATGGATAAATACACCTGGAAACATTTACCTACCTACCTACTCTCTCTCCCCCTATCTATCTACTGTATTTCTCTATCTTTCTCTCCCTCTCTATCCTACCTACCTACTTTTTTAAAAAAATTGCCTCTTCAAAACCTTGGTGCGTCTTATACTCCAATGCGTCCTATATTCCAAAAAATGCATTAACTGCTATGCCACACTGATATTAACAGAAACATGTTTGATAGTGACCTTTCCTGAACAAGCTGAATGTAATAGTAATCTCAGAAGTAGCTTCCCTGATTTGTGTAATTTGACCTCCCCATTTTGTGCTCTTCTGTTTGTGTTCAGGCTGCAGAAATCATACTTACAGAAAGATTCACTGAAGACTCAGATTTGTTCGCTGTGATACGCTTCACGCTGCCCACATCTGTCAGTCGGTGCTCATTATCATCCCATCTGCCATACGCCAAGTCTATGCCACCAACAAAAGCTACGGACTGGTCAATGATCACCAGCTTTTCATGGTGGGCCCATAAATAAACAGTAGAGGACACATGATCAGGGTGCCTCATTACCTGGAAAAGAAACACTGACCTTAAAATCAAGTGGGTTATAGGTGAAGATTTTAATGGTGTAAGCCTTAGATCAGGGATATCAAACTCAATTTCATTGAGGGCCGCATCAGGGTTGTGTTTGACCTCAGGGGGCTTGGGTGGGTGTGGCCAGCTTGACGTCACACATGCAGCCCTCCCGAGCTCTGTTTTCACTGAAAGAGGCCAGTCCTTCGATGTTTCCAGGATGGCCCCACAGGCCAGATCTAAGCTCTCCATGGGCTGATCCGGCCGCCAGGCCTTAGATGACCATAAATTCCATATAGGTTAATAAATATATAAGATTCCTTTTCTGAGCAAGTTTTTCTCCATTGCATTCAACCAGCATGCTGCCAAAATTATGTAATCATTCCTAAATTTAGGTGGACTTTCTCTTTGGCTAGGTTTAACCCTTTCTTGTCACTCATCAACAAAGCAAGTTTCTATGTTCACATGGAACAGCTCCACTCTATAGAAGTCAACAGCCTCAACATGGAGCAGCTATACCTAAAGATAAATAAACAGTGTGTAATTGTTATAATGGGTACAAATACCTTAATATTGGGATGCAGGCGCATTAGAGTCCTCTTGGTATATTCACTGTTGATACCCAGAGCGAGTTCTACTTCTTTGTAGAGTATCACAAAGATTCTCACTCCTTGTTGCTGTCAGAAGAAAAAAATACCAGTCATATTTGATGCATGCAGAACCAACTAAAAGCTTAGCCCCGGGGTTGGCAATCCGCAGCTCTGGAGCCGCATGTGGCTCTTTCATCCCTCTGCTGCGGCTCCCTGTCACCGGTCGGCTCCACAATTGATAGGGCTTTCGGTTAGGACAGGTAGAGAAAAAAGGATGCCATGCTAGGAGTAGACTCTATGGTAGGGAAACCAGACTTCCGGTCGGCTCCAGAATTGAAGGTGGGGGGGGGCTTCTAGTTACGACCTTTGTGGCTCTTTGAGTGTTTAAGGTTGCNCTTGGCAACTTGTGGATTTTAACTTCAACATGTTGGGTGGGGAATCTGGGAATTGAAACAAAGCTGTAATTCAAAAATTCATTTTTTTTTACTACCGTTTCTGTGGGCGTGGCATGGCGGGCATAGTGTGGCTTGGTGGGCGTGGCTGGAGAAGGATACTGTAAAATCTTCATTTCCCTCCTCACTCCAGGGGAAGGTTACTGCAAAATCCCCAATAGGACTCAGGAGGCAGAGAATAGATGGGGTGAGGCCAGTCAGAGGTGGTATTCACTGGTTCTCCGAACTACTCACAATTTCCGCTACTGGTTCTCCAGAACTGGTCAGAACCTGCTGAATATCACCTCTGAATTGAAGTCCACAAGTCTTAAAGTTGACAAGGTTGGACACCCCTGGTTTAGCAGTACCTCCCCCGCCCCCTAAACAATGTGGAAGTCAGAATGTTGAACTGAACTCAATCCTTTAATGGCCAAGTCTGATTAAAGATACAAGGAATTTGCCTCTGGTACAGAAGCATTCAGTGTACTTGCAAATCAATGGAGAAAATAATAACAACTCAAAAAGTAAAGAAAAATGCCAAATTTATTCTGAGTGTGCTACAAGCCATAATACACATCTGCCTATCCCGGGTCTTTCATAGGTGGACAAAAGCGTTAAATCCAGCCTGAACATCTGGCTGACTGTGTGACGAACCATAATACCAATAAAAAGGGGAAGGAAAAATAATAATAAACGGAATAAATACTAATTCTAGTATTGCCACATTCTATGGGTTGATATATATGGTACATATTAAATAACGGTGAGAATTAGGTGTTTCCGCCTTATACTTCTATGGTGCTATAGACTTTGTCATTATCCCAATTTAATGTGGGTTCTTTTTATGCCCCCTTTTAAAATTGGACTAAAGTTTTTATGCTTGTTCCCTTCTGCTCTGCATTTGTGAATTTCTTGAAGGAACTCTATGTCTTTTTTTTCTATTGCTCTGATTTTGTAATTCAGAAATGACGTTTCCCCCACTAGCCAAGTGGAGTGGAATATTCCATTCTGACACTTTTCATATCCATGCAAGCCAGGTTGAAATTTTCCTAGGCAATAATTAGTTGCTAAGCTCTTCTGTGACTCACTGGATCGTCTGAGCCTTAATGCTGGAAGTGAATCAGAAAAGACACATTTGCCATGGTGCTCTGGTAACATAAACCACCATTCAGTCTAGGATTTGATTCAACAAAAATAGCATTCGATGTTTGTTTGGCCAGTGATTTCTGGCCTCCAATTTCTGGAGCACGTTGTTTGGAAACGCTTCCGCCCATCATTATAGACTCAACACTTTAAAAACTCAGCCATTACTGTAAAAGTTGTTTATAAAAACACACCAACTTAATTCCATTGAAGTTTATAAAAAGGAGACTGCAACTTTAGCTTTGAAAAGGTGCATTGCTAAGCAACAGGCTGTACAGCAGCAAGAGAGAGAAAAAGTGTGCGCAAGTGCATGTACATGCACGCACACACATACGCACACACACACACAGAGGAGAGAGAGGGGGAGAGAAAGAGGGACCACTGGGGTAAGAGTATAGTATAATATAGTATAGTATAGTATAGTATAGTATAGTATAGTNAACTACAACAATTTAAAAACACTCAACAACCACACAATTCGAGCGGGGGCGGGGAACTCGTCACCCCCAGACCTGTCGGAACAGCCATTTTTATAATAGAGAACATTAGGAAAGGGACCAAAAAAACAACAACACTGCCAAAACTGTAATGCCCTTAACATTATAAATCTGTAAGCCTCCTAAAGGCTATCCACGACCATTTTGGTGAAGGGGTGGAGTTTCAAGAAGCAAAAAATGCTGTATTCAGTGTATAAGACGCACCCAGATTTTCAGCCTCTTTTTGCGGGGAAAAAGATGCATCTTATACTCCGAAAAATACAGTATCTATAACTAACTAGGAAAAAAAGGACACAGTCATAGTGGGTAATCCAAGTAAAATCAATTCTTCATTGCAAAATATCATTGAAAAAGATGATTTTTATGCTAGGAATCATTAGGAAAGGGACCAAAACAATAACAACACCTGCCAATACTGTAATGCCCTTAACATTATAAATCTGTGGAATTCTATATATAATCCTAGGTCACCATATTTGGAAAAAGTATGGAGAAAAGGCAATCAGAATGATCTGGAGGCATCAGTATGCTACCTATGGGAAAAGATTAGGACATCTGGTCTTGTAAGCTTTAAAAAAAAGTAAGCAATTGAGGAGATTGAGGGTTAGGAGAAAATGGAAGAGGGGAAGTTTCCCCCCTTTTCAAAAGCTCTAGGAACAGAAATCATCCCAAAAAGTGATTGATGAGAATTTTAGAGTAGGCAAAAACACATTAATGAGTGACATTCATGACTATGTGACATGATGGCAACAGGTCTACGACATGGCCAATTTGCCACAGCCAACTTGCCATGGCCAACTCACTACAGGACAGGAGTTACGCTAATATCAAATAAAAATGGAGCAGAAGCATTAAAGAAAGATTGCCAAAAGATAATAATTGGTTGTTCAATTATTTGAACATTCTTTCTGTGACTCGGGTCTCTTAACTTACAGGTAGTCCTCGACTTATGATCACAATTGTGCCCAAAATTTATGTTGTTAAGTGAGACATTTGTTGTGAGTTTTGCCTTATTTTATGACCTTCCTTACCCCAGTTGTTAAGTGAATGACTGCAGCTGATAATTTACTAACCCTGTTGTTAAGTGAATCTGGCTTCCCCATTGACTTTGCTTGTCAGAAGGACGCAAAAGGTGATTCCATGAGCCCGTGGGCACAGCCACGGTCATAAGTATGGACCAGTTGCCAAGCATCCGTATTTTGATCACACGCTCATGGGGAATGCTACAAAGGTTGTAACTGTGAAAAATGATAAGTCACTTTTTTCAGTGCCGTTGTAACTTTGAACGGTCACTAAATGAACTATTGTAAGGCGAGGACTACCTGCACATCTGCTAAATGTTCTAAAAAGGCTGGTAAGACACTTTCAATCTTTATTTTTTCCCCCGTGCAAAAGAAGCAAGTTGAAAAGGAATCAGTACATTAAAGTAATTTCTGTTAGATTAAAAGTTTTCGTTGGTTCGTCTTTTGTTTCCTTAGCCAAGTATCCTGAAAAGACCTTTGCAGCAAAGGCTCTCTTATTCTCTGCCTCTTCCTCTGAGATGTTGCCAAACCATCTGGTCCCGCTGTTAAGTTTCCATGTGAAAGGACCCTAACAGTGCCACGTTATAATTAAATATTCTAGAAAGTACCTTAAGAGGCTAGAAGGAGGCTGAGCAGGAAGGGTGGAATCTGATCATGTCAGTTAAATACTAACCACCAATCTGTGATGAAAATCTCTTCCTTGGCAGCTTCCATGGCATTTGCTACGTCTTCAAAGTACCCCTTGGCATTGACATACCTAGAAGGAATGACAACATTACACAAACAGGCAGGATTGGAAATCCGGAAGCGAAAGGTATCAATATACAGGACTTTCTGTTTTATTATTTTCTTGTTGGAAGAAGCAACGAAAAGGAGGAAATGCAAAAAAATAATAATAATGAAAGAAGTGAAAATGATTAGGGGACTAGAACATCTTCCTAGTCAGGAAAGATTCAAGCAATAAGTGTAGGACTTTTTAAAGAAAAGATTGTAGCAATAACTGTAGGAGTTGTTTTTTTTACCCTACAGCTATAAAGATGTGTTGAAAAACAAACATAATGGAGATATGTGAAACCAGGCATGGTGCAGAAAATGTGGAAAGGATTTTTTTCTCTCTCTCTGGCTCTCATTTCACAGTCTTTAACCTTGGGTTCATCCACTGAAACTAAATGCTAAAGAAATTCAAAGGCAAAGGCAGGATTGCTTTATCCATAGATAGCAATACTGGGGGAAATTGCTGCCATTAAACATGACAATGGCCAGCAGTTTTGGTGTTTTAAAAAGGGATTTGTACAATTCAAGGAAAATAGGGTTGGGCGGCTACATATGATCACTGAATCCCAGCAGAATATTTAAACAGCAATTGCTGAAGACCAACAGTATAAGAGGCAAAATATTTAGACATTATCTGCTGGAGACCAACAGTAGAAGAGGGCCAATGATCTTGAACACACATTTGAGTTTTGTGACTACACCTATGCTGCTATTCTAATCGGGGACCTGATACAGTTATTATGTTTTTAATGNTTGTGTTCTGCTTGTAACTTCTACCACGTTGAAAGAATCTACTATTGGTATTGTACATTTATTCATCTGTTATTATGTATATAAAGAAGTTAATGGATCCAGTTGAATCACTTATCTGTGTGTGCTTTCTCGATTTGATTTTTCTGCAACAAACTCTGACATTCTGCTTGCCAGAAGTGTATCAATGATTTGGTCGTCATCCCAAGGTGATATTCTAGGATGGGATCATGCTTGCCACAAAGGGAATAATTCTTTCCGACCTACAAGAACTCAAAACATACCTTGTCCACATTGGCAAAAGTATTTTATGAAGACGACAGAAAGCTTCCATTAAAGTAATCAGTCACCTCAAGCTCAATAACAAGGCACATGTTAAGCCCTCTTCTAATTAGACCTATATTCTTGGAGAAGATCAATGCTTTTCATTAGCAATTTAATGAGTATCCATTTTGAGCAGACAAATAGAATATATCACATCACACAGTGAGTGAGATCATCTCTCTGGAAAGTCAATTTATACTGTTTCTACTCATACCACTGATGGAACAGGCCAAAAGAGAGGATTACACACAGGATGCAGATAGCATTTAGACCTAAACTCCCTTCAGTTGCATCGAGAGTTTCTTGAGTGCAGATGCCTTCAAAGGGAACAAAGGGAAAACGCTTGAAAATTGAACAGTGTTGCTGGAATCACCTACAATCAAGGTGAGGTTTAGGAAGGAGGAATTTCCTATTCCTGACAACATTCAGGGGTTTGGCACAGAGGTCAAGGAAGCAATGAAAATGAAATAAGAGGTCATGTAAAAGGGAGATGGACCTAAATAAGAACAGTCTACTTAAGCAAACTTCTCTCTACTTCGGTCCAGGAAATGTAATGAAGCTTAAGAATCAGCACTGGGGCTGTAGTAAAATGCATCTACAGATAAATATTTCACTGTTACAGGTAGTTCTTGGATAAAGGAATGGAGGGAGGGAGGGAAGAAGAGAGGGAAGGAGGGGGAGGGGTTATTATTCAGGCAAATGCTGAGTTCATATAACAAAATGTTAGTTTATGCTTCATTTTTTATCAAAGTCTAAACAACTGAGTTATATAAATAATGGTTATGTTAACCACAGATTAGGATGGAACCCAAAGATAAGCTTAAACATACAATATCCCCCTCTGTGTATTTATATAATTTTGTATGTGTATAAACACACACATACACACAGAGCTAACCCAATTTTCTCCACTAATACACAAATGCATAAGCAGACAACATATTCCTAAGAAAAACATGGGCAAAACCTCTATGGCATCTGATTTACCATCTGAACACTGGCAGAAAAGAACAGAAGGAAACAAATCTGGAACTTACCATGTAAGCCATAATTACTGTAACTGATTACCAGACTGACACTGGCTTTTCTTACAAGTTTAGCATACTAGTGTGAGTCATCGTCCAAACAGCCTAGAATACTGCATTAACACAGGCCATAATGTAAGTTTATGGTGCAGCTCAAAAACTGTATTAACCATCATTCAGATATCTGCAATACTATTTACCCAAGACACAATATTTGTTTATTGTGCAAAGGCTATCCACTACATCTTCACTTAACTTATCTAAGAGTGTTGAGTGAACACAGGTAGTCCATCATGAATGCAGCCCATACTTTGAGTCCCTGCCTGAAAAATGAGAGATATCTCTATTCTATTATCTTTCGCAGCTTTGTAAGGCTTGAAAAATACTGCACACTTACAGCCTTCCGCCTCAAAATGCAGTCCAATCTCCAGCGATTCCCTTCCACCACAGGTCGCTTCATAAATATTTCAGGGCTCAGCCTGTAAAAAAAGGTAGAAAGTTTGGCTGAAAAACACACTAGTGAACTTTTTTCAGTGGAACTGTTGTCCACTTTACTACACTTTCTCAAATGAATATAAGCAGATGCCCCAATCCATGCAGTTAAACGAGAGAGTCCACCAGCAAAGAGGATCGTGATTACTTTCTAATATGCTCGTACATATATTCTAGTCGTTTCAGACTCTAGGGGGCGGTGTTCATCTCTGTTTCAAAGCTGAAGAGCCAGCGCTGTCCGAAGACATCTCTGTGGTCATGTGGCCGGCATGACTAAATGCCAAAGGCGCACAGAACACTGTTACCTTCCCACCAAAGGTGGTTCCTATTTTTCTACTTGAATTTTTACATGCTTTCGAACTGCTAGGTTAGCAGAAGCTGGGACAAGTAACAGCAGCTCATTCCGTTACACGGCACTAGGGATTCGAACTGCCAAACTGCTGACCTTTCTGATCAACAAGTGCAGCGCCTTAGCCACTGCATCCCCAATTTCTTTCTATTACAATATAAAGCAGCAATGCCTCCTTAAGGCTGAAAGTTTTTTCAAGTGTTGCTGTGCCTCCCAATATTTCTATAACCATTCTGAAATCTTTCTATTGCCTAGGTTTTAAAGGATCTTTGTCTTACAGATTTTATTTCTCATTCTATTTTTTAAAATAATATTTGGGAGGAAAAATACAAAGAACTTAAATTTGGAGATAGACACTGATTTATTCTTCTTTTTTTCTCAAACCGGAGGGGGTAGAAAAACATCCTCTCTCATGGCTGCCTATAAAGTCACAATACAAACAGCACATGAAATGGCACTAGGCCTGTATGCTAAGGAAAAATTAAACCATTTCCTCAGGCGTCTTGGTGTCAGCAAGCTAGGGAAATGACATAATTCCTAAATAGTAAAGGAGGGTGTCTATGTTTTGTGTAAAAGCAATGAGCAGCCACAGTGCATTTTTATTACAATTTTTCAAATAATAATTACAATTAGGAAAATCTGAAGCCCGCTCTGGATGGCCACACTGGAATTATGATAGTCAACTGATGTGCCACATGGAATCAATTCAACAGGTTTAAGAACATAAGGGGCACCATCTTAACATTGTAGGTATTTTTCCACAGATGTCATTACTGCTGGTAGTCTCAAAATATTAAGGACATTACATGGATATGCCTTCCACTGGACAAATACACCAAACCAGCACTCAACCCAAAATTTGTTCCTCCTCCTCATTCATGCTGTTTTCATGTAAAGGTTACAAAATAAAGTGAGGTGTTGTTATGAGGGGATAGCTGAAAAGGTTCCATGGTGCCATTCCTTTATTCAATACTACTACTACTGCTACTATTACTATTACTACTGTTTTTCCCTGAAAATAAGACTGGGTCTTATATTAATTTTTGCTCCAAAAGACTCATTAGGCCTTAGTTTCTGGTTAGGTCTTATTTCCAGGGAAATATGGTATTAAATGCATCCGTCTGGCTGACGAAGTTAACTGGAGCTTATTTTTTGGGTAAGGCTTATATTACATCATTATATCCTGAAAAAATCATGTTAGGGCTTATTTTCTGGTTAGGTATTACTTTTTTTGGAAACATGGTAAATAATAATAATAATAATAATAATAATAATAATAANCCCCTGCTTAGTCAGGATACCCTGCACCACTTCAGACAAATGGTTGTCCAACATCTTTTTAAAAACTTCCAGTGTTGGAGCATTTATAACTTCTGGAGGCAAGTTGTTCCTGTAATTGTTCAAACTGTCAGGAAATTTCTCCTTAGTTCTAAGTTGCTTCTCTCCTTGATTAGTTTCCCCCCATTGCTTCTTCTCCTGCCTTCAGGTGCTTCGGGGAATACTAGTTTGACTCCCTCTTCTTTGTGGCAGCCCCTGAGACATCGGAAGACTGCTATCATGTCTCCCCTAGTCCCTCTTTTCATTAAGCTAGACATACCCAGTTCCTGCAACCGTTCTTCATATGTGGCGAAGACTGAACAGATTTTGCTGTGTTCGGTGTAGACTTGTTAAGTGCTGTGGGAGGAATGGGGAGGAGATTCTCTCCTATTCAAACTATTTTTACCATCAGGGTATCCACGTACATAGTCGGAGTACCGAAGTAAATGTTTCACAAAACCAGTTCTCAAAATGGGTGCATGTTTTCTCCAGGAGCAGGAAGTACTCTTCACTTATCTCAAATCATAGCTGAGGATGGAGGGCTTTCTCCAGACTACTTCATAAGGACCAGTAACACCTTGTTATTTTAATGTTTTGCCTTTTCCTCTTTGATAGTACACATTGCTTGACAGTTTGGGTTCTGGATACAGGAACTGACACATTTGTGTGTGTGGGGGCGGCGAAGCATAAGCATACTCTGGCCACATGCTTTCCCTACGTGAAGTTCTTAACGCTTATGAATTCAGAACATGTGCCATGGAAGCATCCAAACTGTTCCTCTTCACACAAAGGACCAGAATTGGTATATTTCTCCACTTTGTTGCTGCAAAGTCATAACTTGTTCCAAATCACCTCATGTGCCACATTTTCCATGCAATTTCGAAGTGTTGTAGTGATGCCATCATTAATAGCAAGGCGTCAAAACTCAGTCTGTTTGCTACTTAGGGAGAAGCATATATCTGTCAACCACTAATATTTACCCACTTATTGCTGTCTCCCTTTCTGTCTGCAGAATAGCCTGCTCCAACTCATTTCTGTATCACAGCCAAGAACATTAGATAACATGTCCGTGGAATCGCCCAGAATTGAACTCAATGTATAAATTAGGTGGTACCTCTATACGATTATGTGAGACTTTGGTGTAATTACACAATTGCACAGTGCAGCAGGTGACCCCCCCTGAAATTCGATGAAAATTGTTCCTCTTTGGTATGATTTTGTTAAAACGTTTTGTTAAAGAGTTAAAAACTAATACCAATATAAAAAGAAAAAAGGAAGAAAGAAAGAAATCAAGGAGAAAGCAAAAAGTGCAAGAAAAGTAAAAAAAAAATAGAAAAGAAAAAAAAAGATACAAAGTGGTTTCTTGTCTATAGAGTTTCTCAGTCATCCAGGTCATTGTTGTCCCAAACGGTGCTTTTTCAAGAGACAACTGGACTTTCTTTGTCAGAACTGAGGAAGCTTCTTGGATGAGAAGAGAAACACCTTCAGGAAATGAAGAAAGGAAAAACAAAGAAAGTCCCGTTGCCTCTTGAAAAAACACCTTCGAGACAAAGTGGTTTTCTTATTCTATGGCTACAACATAAATCTCTTCTTTCTTTAATCTAGTCTGTCTAAAACTATAAATTGTTAAATTCATGATTTTCTGTTTTACACAAGAAATCTGTAAGAGGGTTTCCATTCAGCAATAAATGCAACTTTTGCGAGCCTCGAGATAGCATTCACTTCATCTTTAAAAGCTATTTCATTTTAATGGGGCAGTGGTACTGGAAGAACAATTGGCCACTTGGACCAAAGGTACAAGTACCGACTCAGCGAAACCTGGCTCAAAAACAGTAACTGTGAGAGGGACCTCGGAGTCCTAATGGACGACCCCTTAAACATGAGTCAGCAGTGTGTGTGGCAGCAGCCAAAAAGGCCCAAACAATATTTGGTTGTATAAACAAAGGTATACAATCAAAATCACATAAAGTATTAGTACTGATTTATAAAGTCATAGTAAAGCCACACCTGGAGTACTGCATCCAGTTCTGGCCACATTACAAAAAAGATGTTGAGACTTTGTCATAAGTGCAAAGAAGAGCAACTAAGACAGTTGAAGGCCTGGAGACTAAAACATAAGAAGAACGATTGCAGGATTTGGATTTGGCTAATCTAGAGAACAGAAGGACTGGGGGGGGGGGGAGACAGCAGTATTCCAGTATTTGAGAGGTTGCCACAAAGAGGAAGAGGAGGTCAATTTATTTACCAATGCACCTTTAGGCAGGAGAAAAAAGAATGGGTGGAAAGTAATCAAGGAGAGAAGCAACTTGGAACAAATTTCCTAAGAATGAGAACAATTAACCAGTGGAAGAGCTTCCCTTCAGAAATTATGGGTATTCCATCACTAGAAGTTTTTAAGAAGACACTGGACCAGTGGTGGGTTTCCAAAATTGTTGGAACCTACTCTGTGGGTGTGGCCTCCTTTGTGGGAGTGGCTTGCCGCCCATGTGACTGGATATGAAATTATGAATTAGTACTTAGATCAGTACAAGTTGCTATTCAGAAACTCTGGCATTGAAGCATGCAAGTCTTAAAGCTGTCAAGTTACAAGATCCTTGCCAGTGGTGGGTTTCAAAATTTTTTGGAACCTCTTCTGTAGGTGTGGCCTGCTTTCCGGGTCCACTGGTGGAACCTCTTCTAACCGGTTCGGTAGATTTGACGAACCGGTTCTACCGAATAGGTGCGAACTGGTAGGAACCCACCTCTGCATTGGACAGTCACTAGTTTGAAATGGTATAGGGTCTCCTGCTGAACAGAGGGTTGGACTAGAATACCTCCAAGGTCCCTCCCAGCTCTACTCTGATTAAATGCTGACTGTGCATGCAGCAGATTCTGTTATTTTCTGTCATGGGGAGACAGGCTTTTGTCTCTCTGTTTTGGGAGGCTGAGACTTGATGTTCCATAAAATGCAAATGAGCAACTGAGGGCATCCAGCCTGCTTACTGGCAACAGTGATTGGATGGTGCCATGTACTCCAGGACAAAACCTGCATTGTCTCCACGCTGCTAATTGGATTGAGATTTCTGTAAATGTTTCAGGACACCCCAGGGCTCTCCAAAGAGAACAATTGTCCGGGAACATTGGGTAGCAGATTGACTGCCAAGGTTGTACAGCATCTTTCTTGAGTCTACAAGGCATAACATGTTTCAAAGAAAGAAAAGGAAGAGAGAATGAAAGGGAAAAGGCTTAAAGTAAAAGTGCTAGGGAAAATGCCCAGACAAATTTAGGCATTGCTATGGTTGTATCCTTACCCATTCACAGAATGCAAACTTTGAGTCTGATGACATTTATTTCCCAGGAGCTTTGCTTAGGAAGAAACCATGAATTGAAAGATGACCAAGAATTAAGTGGTATTGAATTCTTGGGACTTGAAGAAACACCCCCTCCAAAACAAACACAGAAATCTGATAGCATCTTACACATTGTAAAGTTACTTAAATATAGGTAAAGGTTCCCTTCGCACATATATGCTAGTCATTTCTGGCTCTAGGGGGAATGCTCATCTCCGTTTCAAAGCCGAAGAGCCACCGCTGTCCGAAGAGGTCTCCGTGATCATATGGCTGGCATGATTAAATGCCGAAGGCGCACGGAACGCTGTTACCTTCTCACCAAAGGTGGTTCCTATTTTTCTACTTGCATTTTTACATGCTTTCTAACAGCTAGGTTGGCAGAAGCTGGGACAAGTAACAGGAGCTCACTCCATTATACGGCGCTAGGGATTCGAACCGCCGAACTGCTGACCTTTCTGATCGAGAAGCTCAGCGTCTTAGCCACTGAGCCACTGTGTTCCCCTACTTAAATATAGGCGAATGCTAATAATATTAATATCATTACTGCTACTATTAGCAGTACACATAGTCCTCAACATACGACCATAATGAACCCTAGAATTTCTGTCATACGTCGTGATGGTTATAAATTGAGACACTTATTCACAAACCTGATTTTATGACCTTTACTGCAGTGGATTTGAAGCATACGTTGTAAAGCAAAATCCATTTATTCCTACAGGCATTTTTTTTTTGCTGGAAATCAGTGAAAAGGTCAGAAATCATTTTTTTTTAAATCATAAATTGTGGTCACATTATTACAGAATGCCACAGCCAATTGTAAAAGTGAGCCATGGTGCCTGAAATGTAGTCATGTGAATACGGGGGTGTTTGTGCGTGTGTACTGCTGTGTTGTAAGTACCTTTGGGGACAGATCTGTCATAGCTTCTAATGGTCACTAAGTGATCCATCGTTAAGCAAGGACTACCTGTAATACAGTTTTTAAAAACTCCTATGCATGTAGGCTGCACAGGTCCAACTGGTCAATTAAATACCGAATACTTGTAATCAAAATCCATTCACCTAACAAAATTAAAATGCATCTACCGGTATAAATGTCAATTCTTAATATACATATAGATCACAGTATTGAAAATTAAATTCACAGTCCTTCAGTCTTAGAACAGTGTTAGTATTTTAGGAGTTTTTGTGTAGTTTCCAGAAAATAAAAAATGCTACATTTGCAATGAACAAACCCCCCCCCCCAAATGTGTTCATCTGGCAAAAGGATATCTACAAAATTTAAATCAAGACATAATTTGAAACATAGCACATCTTGTTTTGTTGAAAAGGGAAAGCAACACATTTTCAAACTGCCAGGAGGCATTTCGATTGCTTTATCTAATTTTGGATTTTGCGAGCAGTAGATACAAATTCCATAATATCTCCATGAATTAAGAATGTACTCTTAAATAAAAACATTTGTCAAGTGGAGGCTTAGAATGAAATGAGTCATTTCTGCTAGTCGAAACGTCCTTCTGTGAGGAAAAGGCCTGCCAAGAATACAAAGAGATCTGCCAAAGAAAAGGTCCAATTGAGGCAGGGGAAAGCAAGAAGCATATTGCATACACCAGGAGTGTCAAACTCAATTTCATTGAGGGCCACATCAGGGCTGTGGGCCGGGCAGGTGTGGACAACTGGGTGGGCGTGGCCAGATTGACGCCACTCCCCAAAGTGCTGCCATGTTTCCTCTTTGCATTGGGTAGACTGGGCTGAAGCCACGCTGGCCCGATGTTTCCCCCTCGTAATGGGTGGAGCGGTCCGAAGTGACACAGGTAGACTAGGCCAAAGCGACATGGGTAGACCGGGCCAAAGCGATGCGGGTTGGCTCCTTACATTTTCCAGGACGGCCCTGTGGGCCGGATCCAACTACATTGTGGGCCGAATCCAGCCCGCAGGCCTTGAGTTTGACACCCCTGCCTTGCAATAATCATAATAACAGAGTTGGGAGGGACCTTGAAGGACTTTTAGTCCAACCCTCTACTCAAACTGGAGATCCTCTACTATTTCAGAAAATGGATGTCCAGTCTGTCTTGAAAACCTCCAGTGATGGAGCTCC